CAAGAGAATATCTCTTATTGGATGATTGTCCTGTTATTGTAGATTCATCTTTATGATGTTGTTCCTTTTCCTCAGCTGAGGGTGACATTATAACGTCCTTCTTCTTATCAACATTAATATCTTTTAATTCAATTTCCATTAGCAAATCATCATCGGATTTTACCTCATCCGAAAGGTTATTACCACTTGTATGCATCATGACAGATCCTCCACATTGTAATTCATCTTCTTGTGTTTCATCTAGTAATTGCAAGGATGCACCACCTGCAAGCTTTGATTTTGAAAAATTCATTCCTGATGATGGTGGTAGTGAGGAGAAAGGTTGTAATTTTTTGTTTTCTTCTTGATTGATGATTGTCGTTATTGTATTGACCATTTGTGTTTCATCCGATTTGGGAGTGGTTATGGTAATATCGATTATTGGCAATGATGATAATGAAGTATTGGATGCATGTTCTTCTGTTGATGATGGTAGTGATTGAGCGGCATTTTGCTTTGAATCTTCATCTTGTTGATGAGGATTTATATTTGATAAGGAAGAGCTTAATTGCTCACTCCTCTCCACTCTTCCTCCAAAACTCACAGACCTCTGCAAAATGGTATCAAGTCGGGGTGATGTTATTGTCGTTTGCGACATTTTTTCATCAAAAGTTAATGACTTTGGTGATTCTCAAAAACAATTTACCTTATTTTCTGTTGTGCAAAATTATTGCGCCATTTTATTTGTCGGCTAAATAAATATAATATCACAAAATAACACTCCAATAGTTCGTATACGGTTTTCTCGATATACGCCAATACTCTTCAAATTCCTTATTTCCTTACTGACCTTATCATTAAAATCTCTGTCGAATATGAATTTACCCTTTTCATATTTCACAATAATGTATAGTGTAATGTATGAAAAACCAGAAAATTCAATCCGACAGAGGTTGAATTTAGGTATATTTTGTTGTAACAAACTTTTAAGCAGTTTGGTTAGTATAACCTTGTTGATCTTTTCATGAATTGAAGAATAAGTTATCAGTAGCAACAATTGAAAATTCTAACAATTTTTTATATGATTTGTGTTTAGTTAATTGTAAATTTAAAGCACTGCTATGCAAAGAATTAGTCGTCAAGTTTTTCAGATATTTCGTATTTCGGATTTGGTTTTATGGTTTTTTAAGGTTTTTTGAATTGGATAGATGGTTTTTTGGGCTAGTAGTTGCAATCAACTATTAGAAGGTTGATTAATGATATCCTCAATCATTATTTATTGTTATTATTATTCTTGCGAATTAATCTACACGCGCAGAAGAATAAACTCAGTATTTCAGAAACGACACCTTATTTTGATCCTTAATTTGTTAATAAATTCCCGCAAATTTTGTTACAATTCTATTAATAAAACAAAAAAAATGCCTGCTATTGAAATCCACGTAACACTGGAGAGAGGTAAATCTGGTAAGACAAGGATCAAAGCCTTCGCTGATGGGTTTTCCGTATCCGGATATATCAAACGTGTTTCTCACGATGTTTGTGTTGTGAGAATGGAAGCAGG